ATCTTAACCCATGAGTCTCGACATAGACTCCAAAACAATTAGGGAAATCAAAATACTGGAAGTTTTACTGGAAGTAAGGAACCTGACCGGAGTTTCTTGCTGGCCTGCGAATACATCCTAAACGCTCAACCTGACGGTCAGGACCCCTCCAGAAAAAAGCTGAATGTTTTAACTAGCGTACCGGAGTTCTGGCTGACGCGACTGAGAGATACRAGTGTTCGTTCTGGTTTTCTCACATATTGATAAGATAAAACGTTAGGGCTAACATCCTCCTTTCCTTATACAGTATCTCTTAAACTTAAACATTGCCATCTAAGTTTAATGTATCTACAAACATCTGGTTTATTAAGACCTTAAACCTGAAGTTCTGCTGTTTCTGTTAGAGTTGTCATATCGACAGTTAATTAGTGCGGATGCGTACTAAGTGTTGTTGATGCTTTAACTCTCAACAAAATTTGATTGTTCACAATAAGTTGTATACTAGCGATTTATTTCGATTCCATAAACAAAATTATCTCGTTTACGGCCAGATCAGCTTGAATTCACTAACTGAAGTCTGACTTATTTGTGTGGTCTCATGTTCACACAGAGAGGTTTATTTTCTTAAACAGAAGAACCCGTGAATTACCTTATAACAGTTAGTTATAATAAGTATAAGTGTACTAATCACTACATTTTTTAGTACAAAGTATTGGTGGAGGTTCTGCATTTCACAGAGGAAACTTTGTTTTTGTGCATTCTCTGCAGTCGATTCTTCATTACTTACAAAAAAAATTCATTTGCAGTTACTGTAACAAAACTTACCATGCTTCCCCATCAACAGTAGCAGAAGTGAAAGCACACACCAGTCCATGATCTGATGACAGGAAACAGTTATAGTTAGTATTTCACAAAGAGGTAACAGTGACAGGTCAATATATCCTTTAAAAAATTGTACAGTGGATCTTGCATTAAAATACCAATAATATCATCATTTTACATTTTAATTTTGAACCTATAGAGCTCGTCTGGTGATGCTGGGAAAAAATGCACGGTGTCTCATTACTACGTTGTGGTCACAATAACACAAGCATGATACAGTAATGCGTGGCCACAAAATAATTTTGAGCAGCTGAATTCAGTGTTTCTTGCTAAGAATTGCTTCATGCCTAACGACAAGTGACTGTATGTCATTGTATAATTTCTGTAATATGATTAAAAAAAGAAATTAATTCAAACTTATTCCTGTTTACCATTAACAGTCTGCATGGAAATGTCTGTTACAATTATTAGGTTTTTCATCCAACATCACCAGCTCCATATAAACCTATTCTTTTCTGTTTCAACTGAAGAATGTTTTGTGTTTCTCCCAGAATAGAGACTGTTTTATAAAGGAAAATATGAAATGGGTTGCTATAATGTGTCATTAAGACTTCATTATTTCTATGGACGTTCTGTTTAACTTCATATTCATCCTGTTAGGCCAACAAGTCTGTTAGAAATACACGACAGTCTAACTCCTGTTGTTTTTATTTGTTCACTAACACGTATTGTGCAAGAAAATTGTGAAATATGTCCACCATGTCATGGAAAAAGTCAAAGCAGAATAAAAAATGTAATTTTATGTAAATTGTAGAACAAATTTTTATTCTATTTTTCTCGTTTGTGGTTTCTACAAAATATTAGTTTCCCTTCAAAATAGACAATATTATTTTCTAATTATATATATCTAATTATATTCTATCTAAAACCTGAATGTAAAAATATGTTTAGTTGATCTTTCAACCAAAATTATTTGGCCTTCATTTGTTTATATTAAAATTATACAAAAGGTTTCTGATCTTATCAATTTATATGTGTAAATTCATAAAACTAGGTGGACAAAACTCTCCCTGTGCCTTAAACAACACATTTAATAACAAAGACTTAAAAACCCAAGTTCATCTTCAACTTTGACTATTCACAGCTGATGTTGGTGAATCTATCGCCAAGTGTGGGTTGGAACGTAGACAGACCAGTAAATCAAGAGCTTTGCCTTTTAACTCAACTCTTTCTTCACCAACTGATCGAAGCAACACCCTCTTTACTGAGGATAAGTTCCTGGAGGAGGAGGCTACCTAAGGTGCTTGTTTCTCTAGTGGCCAATCTTCTTTTATCACATATCAGTTCTAATCATGCTGCAAGAACATCTCTGGAACCAGCAGGATGGTCAGCCATACCTCCTCGCTTTTGGACATTAGAGGAGCACCAATGACATACTGTATTCTCCAAGGATAGGCATTGCATTGACACCAAGAAAACTGCTCTTAGAGCAGAGGTGCCCAAAGTGGGGCCCGCGGGCCAAAATTGGCCCRCCAAGCCATTTGATTTGGCCCACCAGCAGTTGTCCTGGCTAATAGGTTGTAATCTCATGTCTTATGTAAAAACACCATATTTCCACTTAATCTTTTCAACCATTGGTCCAACTATATAAAATAGAATGCAGTAGATTTAACTCAATATTCAACATAAAATTGAAGTAATTACAATATATATTAAGATTAGATGTAAGCACACATCTAGATTTGCACGCTTTATAAGACCAAAAATACTCAAATTTTAATTTATGAAAAGTTCCATGAGCCATTAATGCCTGAGCATACGTCAGATTTTCTCCACATCCATGGGCTGAAAAAGCAAAAAATAAATTAAAAAATGTGGGCCATCACACTGGCTGCTAGCTTAATCATAAAAAAAATTAATCAACTTTACTTAAGAAGTATTTGCATTTCATGTATTATACGTATGCATTTGGCCCTCAGCCCTCAGATTGATTTTAATTTGGCCCTCCTAAAGAAAATGTTTGGGCACCCCTGTCTTAGAGTTTTTGGCTAACTTTGCAAAACTCAGTATTTATTTATTTATTTATTTACATTTTTCTAGACAACAGTGTATAATACTGATCCTAGAAAAATGGTGGAATCACACAGAATCTACATAAAAGACTAGTTGTTTTACTTGGGTTATTTTTCTGTTTGTTTTGAATTTACAAGTCCTAGTTTAAACTTAAGGCCCTGTCACACTAAGCAACTTATGAAACGTATGAAGCATAATAAGACTGGTGGACAAGAAACTGATTACTCATGTCGGATGACTTTATGAAATGTAGAACTAAAAATGTTTTTTTTAAAAGATTAACTTTAGCGAAGTGGTGTTCAGTCAACGAGGGCGTGTGTGAAAATGATGGTGTTCCTGTAAGCAGCTGGCTGATGTCAAAACTTGCTACCACTTTGCACCATAAAAGGAAAAAAAAAGTGGAAGCTAAAGTGTTAGCTCATTGTTGCATTTCCTCTTTCTCAGTAAGACCAAAAAGATAGAGCTTATCTGGGAGCAGTCTCCAGGCCAGTTTAGCAAACAATATTGTGAGACATTTACATAGAGATGATGGTTCCAGACTAGGAATAAGATGTAAACCTCAAAATACACCTAAATAATATGGAATCAAGCTCTGTTTTCAATTTTAAAAAATTAAATTAATTTTCCTACATTAAAATAAAAATGTTAAATGTTTAAGAAGTCATGATTCCCAAAAACAGAAGTCTGTAAAAAATAAATAAATAAATAAACTTCCTTTTTAACTTCCTTTTTACTCATTCTTCTGCTCAAACAGGAAGAAAGACTAAAATAATGTTTTACAATGCAGCGTTAAAAAGAGCAACCACAGCAAGTCAGAGCCGTAATATTATCCATCCGACACTCCTTATGAAAAATTCTACATTTACATGAACGGCATTTAGACATTCACCAATTCAAAACGTCTGCATGAAGACAAACTGAAGTGTACAGTTTATTGTTTCAGAAAACATTTTAAACTCTCATCAGGGCCTAAAATTAAAATGATTTGCAGTCATCTTGCTTTTCAGAGGCAAAGTAGCTGAACATCCGGCACGAGTTTCAGGAACCAACAAACAGCCCTCCAACGTGACCCACTTCAACAGTTTGACATTTATCTAGAGAAAATCATTTAAAAACCAGATATAGTTTCTGTTTTTTACAATCTGTCCATTTCTGTTGTGCTGTTCGTCTCACACCGCACTATAAAACTAATGACATTCATACAGGATCAAATTGATCGATTAAAAGAATTCACCTAAAAGCAAACTTACCAGAAACAAGAGGGTTGGTGCCTGGGGGGTGGCTGACGGCTACAGTCAACTTTATTTAACACAGACAGACTCCACCCTTCAGACAGGAAGCTGATGCAAAAAACTGTCTTTAAGATAACAAGGATGGTTGAAAAAAAAAAACATGCATAAACGGCTAAATGCCACAGGGTTCTTCTGAGCAACAGTGTACTGTAGYCCAGGGGTTCTCAAGCCATTTGGGTCTGGGGACCCCTTACAAGGGCAAAAAAATTCCAGGGACCCCCTCATAAACCCCATGCTRTTTTAAAAGATAATTTATTGTTATTTCAACCCCTAAATGCCATGGGAATATATATTTTTATTAAGTCTATGATGTTTGTTTTATTAGTTCATTGTTCTCAATGCATTGAAAAAATAAAAACCAAATTAACAATTTAGTGAAATTTTTTTAGGACCCCCAAGATACCTCTCGCTGACCCCTGGTGTTCCTGGGACCCCAGTTTGAGAACCTCTGCTGTAGCCAATAATGCTAAAGTCAAAAGACTGAATTTACAAAATAGCAAGGATGTCTGTGTCCCACTTAGCATTCAGCCTGTCAGAGTCTAACACGAGTGACTTCATCATGTTCTTATTACTAATTTCTATACTGTATATAACCATCTCMTGACTGTGACTAACTTTAGCAAGAAGCTGATGGATCCTGTTGTTCTAAAGAAAAGCAGAAACATCATCATTAATTGACCTTTACTTACTTCCACTAATGACACAATGAGTGCCCCAAACTGAACAAATGATTTTTTAAACCTGGGCCCGTCTTTATCAAACTTCTTAGAGTGGAATTTCAGACTTAAGTCCTGAAAATTTCTCAGACTTAGTGTAAATGCCAGTTATCAAAATTCTTAAGTCTAARAACCACTCTTACTCTCCCGAAAAGTTCAGACTGCTCCAGAGGACTCTTAAGTGGTTAAGAGTTTCCACTAGGGTTCTGAGATGGACAGAGGAGACAGAGAAAAGAACTGTCCTCCTCAAAAATAATCTGCACCACCTCAGGAACTGCCCGGGGGCATCCCACCCGAGTGTGATTTTCAGTTACAATGTAACTAAAATAAGGTGTGGAAAACAGGTTTAGTCATCAATACAAAAGAAAGATGGGAGAAAAAAATGATTACCGGTGCCATAATGATGGACTAAAAGATGGATATTTCTGTGTAGCTTTTGGAGAGAATATTAAACTATCAGCTGGTAAGTGAAAGCAGACATCTGTAGTCTGTAGTGCTGGGGGGTGGGGGGTGGGCGGACCAAACACAGACTGACAGTGCGGTGTGTGTGTGTGTG